GCGGTCACCATCGTCCGCTTAACGCCCGCACCTCTATAGTCTCGACGGTCATCCTTACCTACAAGGACTTTGACAGTGCCGAGCATGTTCAGCATGACTCCAGTCTCATCCATGTTGTAGACATTCTCTGGCAGGATATCTGGTCTACAGAGTTCCTTCTCGATCATCTCGAACCAGTGGACAACCTTGTCATATATGTTGTTATCGTGGCGCTCTCAAGCCATTGCTTTGTTGTTCCTCGACTTGATCTCTGGATGACGGCGGCGGAAGGCTTGAGGCCAGTTCTTATTCGGCGGCCCAGCGGGCCGATTCGATACTCGTCGGCGGGCGATGCAGAAGGCGAGGGAAGGTATGTACTTGATACGGATAGGGCATCCACTGGCACTCATTCGTAACAAGAAGTCAACAAGCGCTTTCTCCTCAGGTATTGCTGGCTCTCAGCTGTGGCCTTCTTCGAGGGTCGACCTCGATGCCGATAATGAACAGTAGTACGAGGAATGTTACAATATCTAGCTCGAGCAGAGATGCTCTTGTGCACGTTGGGAGGCAACTCTAAGGCCAGTGCCTGGCTGGCGGGGTCCATGTTTGCTACAATATACATCACAGCTTCACAACTTGCTCTACTGAGCGAGTGTCCTGGTTGTGGGCGTTCCTCGCGTTGTGCTAATAATAGAAAAAAGACCAAAGAGTGATAGAAAGTACCAAAAAAACATGTCACATGATTGAGTAAGACAATGGTCACGTCAACATAGTATTACAGATGACAAAGCTGCGCTAAACTCTCATCGCGAATTTTCCCAATCGTTCTGGCGACGGAGAAACTTTCTGATGTCCACCACATATCACTATCTGGCATTTTAAGATAATAATCTAAAATTGAAATACTTAGAGCATCGTCCAAGATCACCGACAACAAAATTCAGAGTAAAATAGCTGCGTAAGCTGAGGTGCCAATTGAGGCACAAAATGTTGCCTCCAGCGTATCGATGATATACTGCCACACCGCTGTGTATTTTTCTATTTGATTATTAGCTGTGTGTAGGGTGCATGCAAATACAAACAACTAGAGATTTTGAACATGTGTCTATAAACGTTTCCGCGTCTTATTTACTTGTGTAAGGAATAATGTTCCGCTACACCGGTTGTTTCGTCACGAGGGGATGCACGTTAAGTAATTAGTGTAATTATATAACTAGTTAGTTAAGAATAAAGATAAGTTGGCATAACGTGCTGGATAAGCGAGTTGGCCAGGCAAGCGAGTTGGCCACCCCACCAAGTTTGCGCACCTCTATGAACGTATATCTCAACAACGCAACATTATATTATATAGAGAGTAATAGGGTGGACTAAGTAGTATCTAGAGTATCTCTTTTGCATGTACGCGAATTATGGCCAGTCTCTCTACACCTACTACACCGCGCTAGAGCCTGGCGGCTAACACCTGATCGCTCCCCTCCTTGACGCTCTTCATAAGCAATCTGCTGATCAGCCTCGCGCTGAGCGAGTAGATCCTCGCCAGCTCCCTTTGTAA